TTGACAATCATTGTGACAGTTAATATCGTTAGATAAACAAAAGAAGGCTATACAGTTAGGAGACGACAATCGCATGAATTATACGCATTTAAGTGAACTGAATTATCAATGCGGAACCAATTTTTGGTTAATTGATCGCCTGTTCAAAACCGGTCTAATTATAATCTATCTAAACAAAATGTCTTTGTCAATATCACGTGCTGTGTTCCGTGTTTCTTTTTGTCCATACAGTGCATGTTAACCACAAGTCATTTTCTCACATGACATTATTATTTAATTATGTAATCAAGCCGATCCACTTGTGCTCAAACAACAAAATAAATGAAAACAAGAAACAAAATGATTACGTTGTCCTTTCGTTCTGTCGAAGAACGAGGCTGGTGTGCAATGGATGCAACTTATAGTGACATTAAACGACTCGCCGTTGTAGCGCAAAAATCCGTTAACTGCTTGAAAACATACAATTTCACCATCATGAAATTACACAATTTAATTACGGCTTACATTATCTCTGATTATTTTTTACACCGTCACCATCGTCTTATCGACGTAGCTTTTGTGTACCGACTCGTTCGCGATAAATATAGAAATCAAAAGCAACAAGAATTGAGCGTCCACTTCCGTTTTTACGTGTTGCGAATTGGTTGAGCATTACATTGACACAACAGTCAAAAGAAAGATTTTTCCCAGTCTGTAATGAAGCCAACCAGTGCCGGTGGTGCTGTTTTTGGCATTGCTGTCGCTGATTTCATTTTTGTTGGTGTCGATGCTTTGCAAAAGCAACAAGCCAAAGCATGCCACACAATACAAACTTGTACATAAGTTAGTTAGCTGAGAAATAATTCGATTTACTCTTGTTAGTCTAAACGTTGTGTCAAGAACATTCAATCTCTTCGGTTTCACCTGCACTTTGCTTTATTTTTATTTATTTATTTTTCTCTTTCGCTCTCTCTCTCCGTGTCTTTTTTTATTGTTTCTTTTCTCATGTTTATTCTTATTGTTTAAGTTTAATTAATTCGTATAAAAGATTTGTTTGAACGATCGTTTGTTACATGGGTATCTGTATATTGACTTTTTCGCAGCTGGTTTCTGATTCAGAGCACACAGGTGCAGCATTTTCTCTCCAAATGACCTTGATTGCGTTCAATTGAAAGTTAACAAAGAATTACCAAGTGAAGAATGGGCAACCGAACGCAAAGATGCTTTTATTTCTTCATTGTCTGTGTTTCTGCTCTTCTTTTTTTTTAATGAGACAATACACACCGGCCTACAATCGCCGATGATTTGCAAAACTTCCATTCACATTTCCGATGTGGGCTGTCATAGGCATAGAAATTCATATCATTTTTGCAACTGCGGCATTCAAATGAAAATGTCACTTACGGTGTGACCAGAAAGGTTAAATTCATATAAATATTTATTTAATCATTTAATTCGACATTTATCGATATATGAAAGGATCGATGGAAATGTAAATTTAACTAAACAGAGGAACGTCGCTCGCATATGTTATCCCCAAATCAGAAACTATTGATAAAATTGAGTTTTCGGTCTTGTGGCTGAAATTGATTGGCCTGTAACCTCAATCCAATTCATCAATTTAATTAGAAACCCCAGGTAAAGAAAATACGTTTGAACACCCGTGGGAATTACATACGATCACATCTTTGAACTTGGAACTCTGAACTAAACCAACCAGGGAACTTCATTTTTCAGGGTAAGTTGACACTTTTAAAACTTAAATTAATTCAAGAAAATGCAGTTGCACCCTGTTGCGCTGGTTGATTTTAGAAAGAATTCAATCAAATCCAGTTTTTCTCTCCCTCTCACCCTCTAATTCTCTCTATATATCACTGACTTTCTCGACCTATCTCGCTTGCTTTACATCGTGAATCTCATCTTTGGTCCAATAAAATTCTCAGTTTAAAATTGCATTCCATGGATGAGATTTTTCATTCAAATAATGATGGTATATTTCGCGCAATAGTGTTAGTTAACAGTGGTTCTTGTTCCATCTGGCCATAGATGGACGTAAAGTTTTTGATAAAACTATGTTTAATAAAAAAAAAAAAATCTTGACATAGAAACAGAAGCGGTAAAATGGAAAATATGAATAATGGACATGAACGCTGTTATCTGCCCTATATACATTTAAAACAAACTGAATTCTATTCACAATTCCACGAATTCTCTTGTCAAACATAGTAAAATAGTACGTATTTTAGCCTTGATTGACACACAAATGTCCAGGGTGGACACTCTTTTGGTGTTGTTGTTAGTGCAATCACTACAAGCAGGTGTGAAAATCAAACTAAATTTTATTTTATGCCACGAGTGAAAATATATTTGTGCCACCATGGCAACAATATCACATGAAGAATAACGAATTACACGTGAATGGAGTCAGTTTTAATTGTGTTGACATAATGATGCCAAAATCGGTGTTGATCAAAAATAGACGCATTCGGAAATGGCATCTATACAAAGAAACAGATGTGAGCGACCAAAATCTAATCATAGCGCTCAGAAAGCATAAAAATTACACACGTTTTCTAATTATTTTTTCTGAGGGTGACATGTTGCCAAAAATACTTCTGTAATACTTATATTTGGTTGACTTTTCGGAATATTTGTACCGACATTTCTCGGTATCATTTTAATTTGGATATAATATATTTATATTTAGCGTGATATGGTCGCATTCAAAAATAAACGAGACTTGATATCGTAAATCTTTATTTGTACTCGACTTTTGTAAACTGAGTGGGCGTACTGCCAGATAATATTTTTACTGTGGATTACAGGTGCAAAAAACTTACTTTGTTGCTTCATTGTACAGAATAATTGCAGACACCGTTGGAGAAAAATTGGCTCTTTTTGCGCCTTAGCTAAATTTAGACATACCGTTATCGTCGTCGCCGTCGTCGTTTTTTTCGATTATTTGCTACTAAATGCAAACTTATTAAAGTGTTTGTTTACATCTCATTACACGTTTTATTTATTTGTTATTATTCACAAGTGTTGAACAATGAGTTGGTGCGCACATGACACGGTGCAAGCTTTTGTGTTAAAGGCTTTAATTGAAGTGTGCTTGAAACATAAGGTAATTTTCACACATTGTTCCTGCACATTTGTTTGTTCAAAGTGAGAGAGCAATGAAAATACGAATCTTTGTATTTTGAAGTTTTTTTTAAATGAATATGATTGACAATAGAATTTTTCCGCACAAATTTTTGAAGCTGAAACAAATTTTCCTGCTCAACCTTCACTGTTCTGTTGATGAAGTCTTCCTTCAAACCAAATGAAATTTGAGGCATTTATGTCAAAAATTCAGAAACAGAATTCATTTTTTAAAAAATGTGCCAACGAATAATTACTTTTGTTTCCTTTTAATTGCAATTGTCATTCAAAAATGATTGAATTTACGTTTCGAGAGCGAAGTCGCCCTTATTTAAGCTCGGGAAATGAAAAGAAAAGCAGACATAAGTCTATGAGAAGTGCAAATATTTTGAATGGTTTGAATTAAAAACATTAAAAATTTAAATGAAAAGACAGTAATTCATTTATTTTTATCGGAAATAATAATATTTACGGAGCGTGCACGCTGCTGTGAGGCAATTTCGAGAATAAAAAAAATGGTGAACGGTTATGGCTTCATGATATTTGATTAAAAATTATTACGTATTTGTGAAGAGAAAAGAGAGATGCAACGACGATAAAAAAAAGTCGCACTCAGCACTGGAATTAAGTTGATGCGAAGTCGTACTCTTGTGATTTTTGTGTTCGCCTTCTTATCTATGCCAGGCTCTTTCCAAATGGCAAACAACAAAAAAAAGTCTCATTTCTGTCGGAAGAAGGGCGCGCGTTACGATTATACATCGTATTCGTTTGCTCGTTTACTTGTGGGCTTTGTTTTTCCATCGCATGAATATTTGATCAGCTAATATTTATGTGTGCATGTATACATTTGTATTAGATAAATACGCACATTTGCTGATTATGTTGAAATTTGAGCTGGAACATCGTGTAAATACGTGCGCGTTACGGTTAGGTGAAAATGGATTGAAATATAAGTGAACATGATTTCATGTAAATGGTGGCTTTTGCATAAATGCGAATACTTTTTTTTTATCTTAAATATTAGGAACTCGGATGGCACACTGTGCTGATCCATATGAAAATGAGACAAAATGAGCCCTATCGAATCAGTCAATGTAAATTATGCCGAGTGTATTGTCGTAAATCACGAAACGAAAGTATGTTAAAGCTTTTCTTCTACTTCACGCCAAAAACCACAAAATTTTACACACGCTTGCCATACAAATACAAACGTACAATATAAATTATGGCGAGGGTATTCAGTAGTGGCTGACGCGTGCTCGTCATAAGAAATAAAAACCAATTTTCATCACATAAATGGCAAACACCATCACCGAAATATTCCTACACTCATTTTAATGATGAAGAAACCGAAAAGTGAATAAATATGCGCTGGATCTCTTTGATTCAAACCAGCTCGTTGCACGCGCTCTTCGTAGTTGCTTTTTTCGCATTTTACCTCATAATATTTGATGAGAGGAACGCGAAAAACGAAAAAAGAAAACAATTTTCCTGAGTTATTTTCCAATCGAGGCTTTTAATAGCGCTAATTTTTCGCCAAGTTTTATTTTCCCAGTTTACGTGTTGTTTTTTTCTCAATTGCTGCATATTTCCGAAAAATGACCCGAGTCAGGTCAAAATCATAACTTGAAGAGATTCAGCGATGAAGAAAACCAACGATTTCATATACACTTAATTATAATGATGAGGCATTTTTCATGATGTTTTTTTCTCGGTTAAATGGATAAAATGGGGGTTTTTTGATGAGAGTGTATCATGCGTTTATTTTTATTTCTCTTTCTGTTGAAATTTATTTTGGTGTTTTGGGTTCACGATAAAAAGAAGGAGAAAAAAAAAAGAAAAATGAGAGTGACAAAAGGCAAATATGCCAAGTTACTCACCCCTTCATGTTCAGCTATTTGCGTTGAATCGTTGTCGGATGTCTTCTCATATCAAACCACAAACACACACACAAAACAGAGTTCACCAAATTCAAATAATGTTCCTTTTTTTTTAATTTAACACACAAAATGAGTTTTTACCGCAAATTTTTAATTTTGACGGATCTTCTTTATTACGTTTTTTTTTGTACTTCTCAAAACACAAACTGATTAATTAGATGCCGTATTTTTTGCACGCATTTAAAAGAACCGTTGTTCCTCATCATAAAAAGAAGCTTTAAATTCAATTGAATTTCTTTAGTTCTAAAATCTAGTTTTACGATTTCTTCTCGCAACATTGTTCAGCGTTTTCTTTTTTTTTCATCTTTGGAATCGACGTAAATAAGAAGTTACAGTTGTTTGCGTACAAATCAAACTGAAATGTTAGAAATAAAACAATATTTATCAATTGACATTAATAAATTACATGTGGGGTGCAATGCAATTATGTATGGATCGTTGTTTTTCGAAGAATCGGGACGATGGAAGTCAATCTTTGAACCAATTTGATTGGCTGTTGTTAAATTGAGTTTGTTTTTATCTTTCTTTGTCAAGTGTTTGGCATTTTCTGTTCGGTTGAATCAACAGCATCGACCGTCAATAAGTGAAACGAACAATAATGGAATGACAATTTCTGACAGACGATGGGCAGGATCATAAGCAACATGTAGAATGGCAAGACAGACAAACAAAAAAAAGATAGGTAGAAATAAACATTGACGCCAAGTGGCAATAAATAAATCACTGCAATAGCATAAATATGTGAAAACCACACCACAAACAAACAATGTCAGCTAAAAACGACAAAGATGCTTTGATATGTATGTATGTTATTTTTTTTCATTCTCTTTTGGTTTGAAAGTCAACCGAGGGTGATATTGAAATAAACTCACCGTGGCCGACGGTGCAGTGCGAATAACGAAAAAAAAATGTCATGAACTAACGAAACACGCACAGGAAAAATACTTTGTATGTAATCAGTGATAACAAAAGCGTCAACATTGAAGACGAAAAAAAATTAGCTCGGGTAATTTTGCCGTCGCATGTAATGAAAATAATACAGGGCACACAATGCAGCGCATTCGAATGGAATTCATATATGAAATGTAGTTGGATGAGAGGGTGAGATCGTGTGAAAAAGAGAAAACGATATAGAACAATGCGAAATATCGAAAGGCATGCAGCTTATAAAGGGAATTTTTTGTTATTCTTCATGATAACAGGTACGAAAAATTGACACAGACACACAGTATAAATAGCAACATATTCAATCTAGGATCACGTCCGGTCGATGAAACATATTTTAAATGTACACATAATGTTTTATGAAAAGATGAGAAAAATGAAAGAATAAAAGAAAATTCGTTGCCGATTAAATTCCACGGTGAAAAAAAAAAGGATGAGAAAAAAATGGACCGTTAAATTGATTGTCGGAATTTTTCATTCTATGCACCAAATTATATTTTATGGTATTTTCTCTTTGGATTTGGTAAGTTTTTTTGTTTAGGTATACGTCCTGCCCCCCTGGTTTTCTTCTCGACTTATCTTTTGTGAACTGAATGCAAAGAGTGTATATTATATTTTTTTGTACGTTACTTTTGTTCTTTAAACGTTTTATGAAAAGCACCTTTTCATTCAATTGACCGAAAAATGAGTAATGTGCGAATGAAAACGAGAAATTCCAACCACGGGCACGATTAAAAACAATGAAACCAACAAACGAGCAACACAGCACACAAAGACTCGAAAAATGGAATGCACGAAACAAAATTTATCGCAAATTAAACGAGAATTGAAATGACACGAAGTGAATGTGAGTGATTCATGTACGTTTTCACTTGACGGTAGCAATTCGAATACTGTTTTATTGAGCGTCTGCACTCGGAAAATATCACTGAGAAAAACTCATTTTGTCTCCACTCCAATGTTGTGATACTGTGTTCGGTGTGCGATGCGAGAAATCTTTGTTAAATACACACAATTTATATACACGTATAACCACTCGGATACAACCATATCGGGGTATATATCCTCATCCGAGTCTTTCGTTCGTTCGCATTCTCACTATAAACACGAGGGTCGCAAAACGGCAGGCGATTACATATACAACTCGTATATAGCAATTGGTTTTTAAAACATAAACAGAGCCGAACAGGCGCGACGGCATCCAACATACAATCAACGAAGCATGCAACAGTGTCGGATGGTGGAAAGCTTTTTCTCTTCTAAATACATTTTCACCGTTCGCTATATATATACATATTTTCATTTCGAAGTTCTTCACCGTCGCATATAACGACGATCCCCAAAAAGCAACAGCCCAATAAACCATTTGATCCATCCTGTAATGCAGTTTGTATACATAATGTGTACAAAATTTGTACATGTATACATAATGTGCTACAAATGGCATTACAGAATGGATCAAATGGTTTATTGGGAGTAGTATAACAAAGGCAACCAAAGGCAACGATAGAAGCAACAGCAATATCGAAGCATATAGCGTACATAATGCTATCAATGTTGGAGCTGATTGTTTTTCACTGTTTGGGCTAAAATGTGTACACAGCTCGTGCCTGTCGAATGTTGGTGAGGCATTTCGCTTTCGATATGGGTATACTACAAACTTTTATGGTTGTTTCTATACCTTTGGCTATGATATGCATTTGATTTTAGTGAAATGAACTCATGTGTACACAAATCAGTATTTTGTCGATTTGGTTATGATTTTATGCACAAAAAAGAGATAAAGTCGGTACACAATGGTGCTGTTTTTTGCACATTATTGTTAGACAAATCGAAGCAAAATTGGGCACGGTAAGAGATACATGGTTTCCTTCATTCTTCACCATTCAATGGTAATTTTAAAGGGATCTGAAACAATGGCCAAACATTGTGAAAGCAAGCGATTGCTTGAAACCCCCAGTAACAGTGAAAGATTTGCGAGCATGTTGATGATCCGGCAAGCAATTTAAAATTATCATCACACAAATTGAGTCGGAAGAAATGGAAAAAAGCGCTACATAATTTACCTTAACATTCGAGAAATTGAACATGAATTTTGGCTATCGATATCGCGAATTTATTCTCTATTTATTTGCACAGTAATCATTTCGCAAAAGCTTATGGTTTGCGGTAAATAAACATGGATTTGTACGTGTGATCGAAAGCCGTTGAATTTCAATTGAATTGCTTTGATATGGATATTGTTTGAGTTCATTTTATGTGACGGCAACAGCTTTGTAGTTTTAGAATCATTTATTTTATTTACAGCGGAATTGTCAATTTCTGATGTTCCGTTTTCCGTTTGTGCATTTTATCCAACATTGCATTGTGCGTTCGTTCTCTCTTCATTTATTTACGATATACATTACGATTCATCTGGCTGAAAATATCTCAATATAATGTCTGATCTTGATAAGATGGGAAAAAAGAGGTCGTAGTAGTATTTTCACCATCGACTTTGTTTTCCATGCCGTCCTCGGTCGTTTGTCGTCAATATTATCGCAAGTATTTTATTATTGACCGTTATCGGTTAAATGTGTGTTTAGGTGTACGCGCATTGGATGCACACAATCCACGTTTATGTATGTACGTTTAAAAGTGGCACTTCCTCTCTATGTTTTCATTTTGCTATGACTCTATCATTTTGCAGAGCTAGATTGTTTCTGTCACCAAATTCACTGAAACGTTGAAAGAAAAAAAACGGTGAATGGAATTTATTTCTCTATGCAACCCTTTTATTTAGGTTTTAGTTGCCAATGCGAATAAGAAAACAAATTTTTACATTATTATAATTTCCAGAATCCATTTGCATATCACGTAACATTCACATTTCACGTTTTATTGGCTTTATGAGCACAGAATATTGACATAGCACTCATAAAGAAGCATGGAAACACACATTTTAAATTATTTAATATTCGTGGTGTTTTTATATTATGGGTTTTAAATTTTCAAGGAGCGTATCTCTTAATTGAGATCAACGTTGTGTACGGATAGTCCATCAATTGAAATTACGCGTCATAAGTTATAAACAAGAGCTTTGCAACATGCAACATGTTATGTTTTCAAGCACATTCACCTTTCACTTACCACATTGAGGTGAACAACAGGTACAAGAACACAAATTCAATTTACTCATTTATTTTTATACATAAATAAACATCATAATTTAAGTCATTTTTTTAAGGCTTTTCTAAGAAAAAGGTAAATTGAACAAAGAAGATCAATTATTCAATTCGATATTGAATTTATTTTGATTAAATTTCAAGCATTCAATTCTGACATTATGACAATATATGTTTATTTACATTTACAATATGCAATTTTGGATTTAAAATAAAATTACTTCAGAGATTTATATAAAATAAAATGTACAAACTTTTATATTGTCCCAAATGCATCCGAAATACTAATAATTTTTTTATTTTTTGAAGTCTTGAAATCTTATAATAAGATTGCAATGATACAATTGAATATAACGCCGAGTGAGTTAACGGGTAAAAAAAATAAAAAAATTCGTTGCATAGCAGACACAAAATAATAGGTGAGACATGAGCTCCCCATGAGACTATTTAGGCTATGGATCGGAGCCATGAAAAATTAATTAAAACTGTCAAACATTTTGAGGCCCCACGAACGGTCTGTGAAGCTCATACTGCGCTGTAGCAGTCACAGTTTCATATCACATCATAGAGACGATTTGTAACAATGTTGTTATGTCTGACTCAGGACACTAGACTTACCTCATAAATAAATGTTCGTTAATTATCCAAGTTGATCTCGCCGGAATTAAAACGATAAAAATTTATTGGATTTTCTATTTATTAAATAATGTTTGTAATGTTCATTTTGTTTTTCACTTTCAAGTACAATATAGGCGAATTTATATATATTTTACAGCATAATATTATTATTTTCAAGGGAAATTCCTCAAAAATTTGTTTTTACAAAATACAATAGGCATACTGATCGCTTTTTCCTTCTTTAATTCACTTATCAAATAATCTGGATAATAAATCGGATTCTTTCGTTTCCAAATTAAATTAAATTATACAAAAAAAATCGTAGTCACTTGAATTTTTTCAGGAATTTTCCATGTTTACATTATAAAAGCTTTATTAAATACAATCTAGAAGTAAATATGATTTTTTTTTTCAATTATTTTCTCAAATCATTTGTAATATTTGTTTAAATAGTTTATAAAAGCCAGGCAAACATTGACGTCGCAAAAATCGTGATTTAAAAATACTTTGTTTTTGAATTGGTCGATTTTTCTAAATGTTTGCTAAATGGAATTTTTGCATATATTTTTTTTTTCAACTAAGAAAAAATGTCTAAAATTCTAATGGAATTTCTATTTTTTATAAGGTCTCTATCAATTCAACAATGCATTTGCATAAGTTTCGAAACTCAGGGGCAAAACTGAAATACATTGGGCGTTTATTGTTCGAATTTGTTTACAAAAAATATTAAATTCAAAATTTAATGTTCCGAAACGTGGATTTTTATTTGTATCTAGTTAAAAACAATTTGTTTACATTTCAATTCGACCAATAAAATTGTGTTCGTTGATCAGATTATCGAATCTTAATACATGTTTTAATAATATGTTCTTAAACATAAAGTCTACGGGATATAAAAAAATGACTGTACGAATTACGTCTTTTTCTTCCATTTGTTATTCTCTTTGAGGAAGGAAATTCATTTTTGAAATTCAAATAAATACTTGCACTTGCACAATTTGATTGATATGGAATAGTTGAATAGTTTTTCTTTCTCTAAAAATTAAATCAGCTAAGGCTAGATTGTATTGGATATGAAGAGGAACGTGAAGAAGGAAAAAAGAAACTAAATTGAGCATAGATAAATCGTTGATTTGTCCTTAAAATAATTGTGTTTTCTGCATAATACAATCTGAATACTTTTATGTTGTGTGAATGGATCGGTTTTCTCGCATAGTTTTTTTTAAAAAAAGTAAAAAATATGTTCACTCTAAACTCATCTAGGCTATGTATGTGTGTGTGTCTAGCAATGTAATCGATTATGGCAATATCACACCCTTCAATTCCTCATATAATAATAATAATTCTTAAATATCTTTCACGCGCATTTATTTTCCAGCATAATTCATAGATATTTGATTAAATGTTTACATTCGTATTTCGAGCTATATTTAGGTAGCGAAAAATGAAGCAATGCGAGAGAGAGAAAAAACTGGCTTTATTTCACTCGAGTGATCAGACTGTTTAAATTGCGCCATGTCATATCATCACTTCTCTGATTGTTTACATCGATTTTGGTGCAGTTCGCGTGCAATTGGCTCAAGCATCATTAGTAATTTTTGCTTCTGTGAACAGTTAAATTTGACAAAAATATTTTCAAAATAGACATCGACTTTCTTTTGTGAGAGCATTGGAAAATTTATTGCTAGTTTTAAACAATAGCATGAATATAAATAAGTTGAAGATTGAGATTTAATTTCAATGTGCTCAGTGAATTGCGAAGAGTTAATTAGGCGTTTAATTTGTTAGATTGATTTAACATTGAGAATGATGCGTTAAACAATGGCGTCGAACATAAACATCGCCAAGCAACAAGTGAATCAACACACACATCGTTACGAACTATTTTTATTGACATCATCAATTCGCTGAGATTGATTGTTTCAATTGATTTTAATCTCTCGCTTGTGCTTGGTTAAGATGGTGACTTTTATTAATTCCTTTGCATTAAGACGGAAAAGAGAACAAAACATCAAGTGATTCCATTTAGAATTTGAATGCAATTATATTAATGCTTAGCTATTGTAGTAGGAGTAAATATGCGCACCGCACACTTTTAGCAAAATAAAATTTATATGTATTATGTGTGTAAATAGTTTGTTGTCTTTTATCTCATCGACATCAATTAATGATATATTTTTTAGTTATTTTTCTTTTAAATTTCGATTTTCTTCCCGTTAAATGAAGCAAGTGATTTTCTAATTTGAATTTTGTTTAAATTTTTTATTGTGTTATTGATTTTTATCTGGCTTTTCTGTTTGTTCGTTTTTTTTTTTTTTAAGTTAAAATTCCAAATGATATTCCATTTATTGATATAAAACAGTCACAAATAACGTTATTTCTTTTGTTATACAATATAATTTTGTCAGAGACACTTTAATTCTAATGTGTTTCTATCATTTATATCGGTTATAAGCCTTAGGTGTTGAAGGTCTGTGATGCTAAGATGTTTGAATGTTAGTTCAACATCAAAATTTGTATGTGTCGTTTTAGCAAAAAAGGATGATTACATGTTCCATATTTTATTTATTGATTAAGTAATTGTTTTTTTTTATTACAATAGTTCAAGATGTGACCAAATGATAGCGTGTGTGTTTTCGATTATTTTGTTTTGTTTTTGCATAAACCAGCATTTGAATTTTAAAACGATGTTGCATGATAGAGATGATGAAATTTCGAACAATGTTGGCAACGATATAAATATCATAATTTTCATAATAACAAATAGAGTGAGTGGAAAAAAAGAAAAACAAACAAAAACAACGAAATGTAAAAAAAGTAGAAAAAAAATCGCAATTAAACCCCAAAACAGAGTGTTCGAATCGCATTATATTGTATAAATCCGTTCCGAAAAATGCAGCATGTGTGAAAAAGATTAAAATTATTATTTATTTGGGGATGTATGCAAAGAATTATTAGACTTGTGTTACACATTGAGCATATTTATCGAGCTCATGTTTCAATGTTTTTACCTTGTCCGATTCATCCTTTAGGGATTTCAATAGCTGTTCAATGGTCTGATTTTGTCTTTGTGCCAATTTTTCCAATTGTGATACGCGCAATTCAAGCTCAGCAACGCGCGAACAAACATTATCCGATGTGACGGTGGTGACTACAGTTGGTCCCGTGTGATTTGTCGCATCATCTTGTATGATCGTTGCTGTTTTGCTTGTAATTGTGGCCGTCGAAGTCTGAACCGTACCACCGTTGTCGTGAATTGTTTTTGTAAGACGTCCCACTGGTGGCAGATTTACATTTCGCAGTGTTACACTCGTTGGTCGTCCCTTTAAAAATGAATATTTAATTCCCACATTAAAAACCAATAAAAAAAAAATCAAAAATTGCCTTGAACTGACCTTGATACCATTATTTGTTGTATTTTCATCGCTAACGGTCGTTGTTGATGAATCTGAAATGGAAATTTTCGTTGCCAACGATGGCTTGACCAATGGATTTTCGATTGGTTCTTTCTTGATATGGAATGTTGAATCGCTTGATGTTCTCTCTGTTTGTTTAATGTCAACGCTGCTGTTTCGCACCTCAAATGTATTTATTTCCTTTTTATGGCTATTGTTAAATGAATTGCTGTGTGTTGTTTTCTGTTCGACATTGTTATCGCTGTTGGTGCTGTCCGGTGAGCGCATTTCGATGCTACCCGGTGACGTTTTCTTGGCTTGACTAGCTTTCAATTCTTCCATCCATGGTGCTCGGTTCTTTTCCCATTCGCGTTGTTTTGTTGGCTTTGTTAAATCCTCTTCGGATTTGTGAATGTTTGTTTCATTTGCGAGAACGGGTGATGCGGGTGTTGGCGAATCACCATTTTCATATGACAAACTTTCGCCCAAACTGGTCGAATTCGATGAAGGCAATCGTCGTTTTGGTGCTTTGGCTCGTTGGGCTCGCATATCTGGTAAAATCGATGAATTTCGTTCAACTTGATCGAATTCCGAATCATCGCGATGTAATCGCTCACCGCTAATACCTTTCTCATTGTTATCGGCCACATGACTCACACTCTTACTTGGACCAATACCATCCATACTATCGTGATGGGTTATTTTTTGTTCGACACTTTTTACTTTCTGTTTTAAACCGGAGAATATGTTTCCGGCCACACTGCCGACGGTTGGCGATTTTTTTATTGGCACCACTGGTTTTTTGGTCAATGGTGGCGGTGTTGATTTTCTTTCATCAAGATTCTCAAGACTTTTACGAATTTCGGCCGTTGATTTTGTCTCAATTAGCGTTCGGCGCGTGGTTACCTGTTGATTTTCATTGCATTTATTCTCCAATGATTTTCGATAGGCGGCCACATTGCCCGCCATAATGCCAGTGTCATTTATCGAATCTCTTGAACCCAAACCGTCCATTTTCTTGCTAATGTTTGTGTTATTGTTGATTAGTAGCTTTGTTGTTGACGGTGGCCGTTCTGGAGTATGATTTGATTGCTCTTTTTGCGGTGATCCTGAGGAAATTTAAAACAAAAAACCATTAGAATTTATACACATTTTTTATTCGGAACAAACGGTGATTTTTGAAACAATTCCTTTGGAACAAAACTTACCTTCGCCTGTGATCAATTGCACGAAATTATCTGGAAATACGCCGACTTTTCCTTTGAGTTCACCTTTCCACCAGCCTTTGTCGGGCAAATCTTTGCTCAATACCGTAATTATTTCACCTTCCTTTAATTCCAGCTCGTCTTCGTTTACTGGCTTATACGAGAATATAACTTTGCACAGTTCTCTCACTGTGAGTACAATCGACGAATGTGTTGATGTGTCAAACCGACAAGGTTGAGAATTCACACAGCATCAGCATCAGCAACACACAGAAGTAATAAACAGAAGCGACGACGCAAATGAAACACACGAAGAAACGAGAAATGACAATAAAACAGATATGAATATTTCAAAATTTAATTAAAAATGTGTGTTGATTAGTACATTTTATGTGAAACATTTCAAATGCCTATACAATTGAGGGGAGAACAGAGCAAGTACATGCGAGTATGACGTCATGCACACAATGATCATCTTTATTACTGATTGGAATCAATAACAGACCGCACATACATGTACGACTAAACACATGTGATATGTTTTTTTTGATGAGTAGTCGCATATGGTTGCACTTGTTTGTTCGTAATGAATTGGCACACTTTGACCTTTGTCTTTGTCTGAAGACAATGAATTTGAATTTGAGTTAATTATTCACTTTCACTTCACTGAACTGTGTGGCCAATTGAGCGATAAATTTAATGCTAAAATTAACACTGACACAATTTAAGTAATCTAGTTTAGATTATTATTAATAGTTCGGTGTAATAGGTTAATTTTCGTACCTGGTTTGGGCGGTAAACTAGGTGCATCCTTTTCGCTGCTCGTGGAAGTATTGCTGCTGACCAAATCCTCTCTCGAACTATTTAAATTATTCAAACTGGTTCGGGAGTTATTATTGTTTGCGGTGCCGTTATTATTACTGATACGCTTTGCAAATACGGGCGACGTACTTTGATACACTTCAACAAAATTCGATGGAAATACGCCAATTTTACCGGACAATTTACCACGCCACCAACCTTCTTCAACTTCACCCAGAAATTCAATAATATCGCCAACAGCCAGTGTTAATTCATCATTATTATTTTGCGTATAACTGTAAACAGCTTTGCAACGACGATTTTTTGTCTCTGATTTATCTCTGTGTAAAACGGAAAAAAAATGTTTTAAAAATGAATATGGTTCGATCAAATACTCGAAACGAAATAATTGATAAATTCGAAACGTACCTCAAAACTACCGGACTCTTATCGTCCGACTCAAGAACACGTACAAAATTATCGGGAAACATGCCTGTTTTGCCAGTTGACGCCAGTGTACCTTCCCACCAACCGCCTGATTGACGCTTTATATTGTTTATAATGGCACCTTTTGCTAATGTTATTTCATCCGATTCCTTTGCTGTATAATTATATTCAACTATTGCACTAACTGGTGGGGGAAAGAGAGAGAAAACAAATTGCTCATTATTAAATCAAATGCCATTTGTACGGTTCAAAGTGGAGGAAGACTGAGAAAATGTGATAAAATGCCAATTTGAAAAGATTTGCTTAATCCAAATACGGCTAAAAATGACGAAACAAACAGTAAACTATTTTTTTCTCTTTGTAATGAAAATGAGTCTTCTTGTTTGTGTTTTTATATTGAAATGAAAGTCATGAAAATTGAATTTCAAGAATGTCAACATTGAGTTACATCAAGTATGCTGATATTATAAGAGGGAAACTATGTGCCGAGAGAGATGCAAGTGTTTTTTTTATTCAACAACTCCAGATGACGACAACTACTGTAATATAATTACAGTTTGGCAGACAACATAAAATATAAACTTTAAATTAAATCGCTGTTTCAGCATTCACATTGTGTATACGGCAGACAGAACTTGTTGTCAATTCCATCGAATTTTCATTCGGTCACCCGAAGACGATACATTTTTCTACATTCATGGTTCATTCATATGACGTGAATCATCCAAATAAAAAAATGACGCGCAATGTATGCAAAAAAATAATAATTATGTAGTTATCGCTCGCCGACATAAATGCGCATCGTAAAAATGTTGGTGTTTTTATTTTCAGTTTTGCCCGCGAGTTGTAAAAATCATTAGACGATTCGTAATCGTAATTGCTCTCAATTAACGGGAAAAAAATTAAGGAACGTCATTGTTTTATCAACATTTGTCGTGTTAGATAAATGATTAAAAGCAGGGGCTGGGATTGAACGTGCTCGATCAAACTTTATTTTTAAATTGCTTTTCTTTGTTTGGCAACGAAAAAAAAACGAATATCAAGCTGTTGACGAGTTTACTCTGTATACATAAAGACAATGATAGCTTGCCGTCATCAAAACCAGGTCAAACGAAATCGATAATCTCTTTGTGTCTTTTTTACACGTTTTAACTCTCATAACACCACTTATTATCACCACATTTTTTTACTGCGTCTTTTTATTAGACAAATTTAATCAACTAAAGCAATATCCTCGATATTTAATCGAACGGAGACAAAAGTCTAATGCGTTTGTAAACCAATTACATGTATCGCCCTTTTTTCGTTAACGCTGATTCCATAGCGTTGAATATTCGGATATGCGATCCATTTGGCATGAATATTATTGACGCCACGGAAACGGCGTTTTTTTTTGGTGTAATTTTCGACTACGACAAAAATATTGATCATAAGCACAATATAACTTAACGAGTCAATGTAATTTGTTGAAATGCAATGACCCTTTTGCATTCTTAAATGAATCACTGAATATTTGCTGTTTAGACCAAAAGAGCATACTTTTGTGACTGGCTGACTGGCATAGTGCTTCAGTGCATTCGGACATATACTGTTGTCGAATAATGACGTTTCGTTATCGATTGGACATTACTCTACAATGTGTACAATCTCTCATTAGGGTTTTTTTTCGGTTGTATTGTTGTCATTGTACGATTTGTGTTTATTTATGTCCATTCGTTCGTTCGTTAGTGTGTCTCTTTTTTGCATTTCTCACTCTCTCTCTCTCTTTATTTCTCTTTCTTTCGTTGTTTCCATCGTCGAATGCATTTGTCGCATTGCACACTAAAGCAAGCAGGGTTTAAAGCAAATACCACGTAATTTATGCCGATTTGTTTACATAAAATATGCACATATGCTTAGCGAGCGCGAAATCTTTGCATATTATCATTGCAATGGCTTCTTGTTTGGGTTTGTGTGTTGTTCTCTGTGTGTCATTTGAGGCTTTGTGTTGTGCATTCCGATATTTTTTCCGAACAGATTAGGCAGAAATATACGTGCAGTGCAGTAAAATATACGGGAATGATTTTGAAATCAGAATAACTTATGACATTTTTCCGTGTTTGAATAACACACAAATCGTTTTGAAAATGACATACACACACGCCGAATAAACATGCATACCGATGAAATGTACATACGCATATACTTTTCTTGTGAATTGGCGGTTAGAAATGTGTACAATGTACATCCAGTGATTCGTTGAAAGTTTGAATGAACTCAAGCCGATTGATGGATGGAAAGAATGCTTCTGGTAATAAATAAAAAATAATTCATTTCCCGCATGAAATCCACAATTTCAACGAACCAACGAGGATCGTAATATGAACATTTCATGCTTTAAACTCATTATCGTCACATTTGTTAGCAATGACAAACGTTGACAGCATTTTAAATAGGCAACATTTTGACGTTGTATCATCGGTTACAATGGTCGTTCTCTAATTATCGGTAATTCGGTAATCCATTGAACCTTTCTAAAATTTCGTGTACGATGGAGAAAAATAACATATTTCTAAATTGCGTTCGGATATATTAAGACCCGAACACACACACACTGTTTAAAAATACACAATAATAAATGAGGCAGATGAGTCATTTCTTGTGCCGTTCATTTATTCTCTTTATTCTTGTTTCGTGTGTCTGATACTGGAAATGGAAACACATTTTGAATGGAACCATTAAGTCGACGGTAATTCACAAAACGCTTCACACTTCCTTCACTCTCTCTTACTCTCTCTCTCTCTTTCTCTCGCTCTGTGTGTGTGTGTCTTTGGCTCACTCTGTGTGTATATTTGTATGTGCTTGAAGTGGACTTTTGTTTTATAAATGAGCTACTCGCTGTGTATATTTATTGCATTGAATGAAGTCATCGCATTATCACTTCAAGTGCTCTCATTTTCATAGGAGTGCTCATGCAACAAGGTGGAATATATGCAAGAGAACATTGACGACTCCAAACACAATGAAAATGGTGGAAATAGCATAGTGAATGAAGTATGTCATGCCATAATAAACTATGTATTCCATTAGCCCATTTTGATTGCTCTTGGTCATTTAAGGGGTGTCACAATACAAAATTGACATTTTTCATTCGATACAAACTTGTGCTTCTATTAAATCAAATCAACAATCGACGACGACGCAAAAAGCCAGCGGCTTGGCCAATTCTCAAAGTCAATTCAGTCAATGGGTTGGTCTCGTCAAATTAATAATGATTCCATTTGATTGAATGGTCGAGCTAAAAAAATGCACACGCAAATATTTACGCGGGTCTTCGGTTTTTTTATATTGTGCATGTGCGACGTCGTTTGGGAATACCGTTAACAGAAGAGAACAACGAAAAAAAAAAAACAATATGTGAACGTTGCTGGGCTGTGAAACGAGCACACAAACGAGAATTTGCCAGAGGCATACACATGAAGTCGCGCGCGCGCTTTCGCCCAACAACAATAATAATAAATGATAATAAAGGAATGTTTCATGTGAAATCAGTTCACATTTCAATGGCACAAGTTCAGTTACTACGACTGTATGCATATGCACAACGCACAAAAAAGAGTGTATGGTGTAAGGCAGCCGCCTCACAATCGTAGTGAAGTATGCTACATAAATGGTCAGGTATGTATGCTCCGTTTTTTTTTGTGTCGTCGGTGTGCATCAACACCAGCAGCAATGAAATGCGCGTGTTTTATTACCCATTTTGCTATTTGAGTCGTTGCGAACGATGACTGTAATTATGAGGACGATCATACTATTTACTTGATTCACTTCATAAATGTCTTCACACTTGGGGCCGAAGTCAATGCACATTGTGTGAGACCTCTCTCTCTCTCTGGTCAGACACACACACACACACACACACGTGCATAGAATCGAAAACAGCACATAAATTGACACGAAAGAATCTCATCGTCGTGAAATCGCATCAAATTGAATGTATAAACTAAATGAATCGAAGCCCTTACATTCAGTCAGCGAATGTAGAAGCGAGAAAACAACAAAATCGAAAAGAACCACGTAACATTTATTTATAAACAGTTTACAGTGAAAATAGAATGAAAGAAAATACACAACGACTGGAATAAGCACAAAAACCACATTTGTTCGCAATGTATCGATATGGTGAATGTGCCAAAACGAAAAAGAGAGATAGAGACATACACAAACAAGGCAAGATAAAATCAAGCAATCGAGCGCACGCAATTTCATGTGTTGCACAAGAATCATTGTCATGTAGATTACTCGCTTTGTGGAGATGTGTTGGGGTCTTTTTTTGTTTGTTTCTTCACTTGTGTTTCAGTTTTGCCATCATTTGCGCCAACATTCTGAACCACAATCGTTCGAGCCACCTCACTATTTATTTATGCTGCTCGTATATTTGAAACGGTGACTATTATTGCTATTTGAAGAAGACTCTTTCTCTTTCTTTCTCTAACTCGCGGAGTTTTTTTTGTTTAATTCAATCTTTTATGTACATTTGCAGTGCACTTCTTTGAAAGGTGTACGCGTACTTTTCTTATCCACATTGAATCAAGAAACAAAAGCAAAAACTAAGTTGCTTTGCGAACAGGTTTTTCTACTGGAAACAACAAAAAACGAGCGACAGCCACAACGAATAGAGAAAAAAGAATTCATCACTAGGAAAAATGTTTTCAAGTTTAGTTTATTTCTTGAACGCCCGTGCACCTTTAACACAAGTTTTCATTGCTATTTCTAAATCGATGTGTGTGTGTGTGTTTTTTGTGTTTCCACGTCGTAAAATTTTCCCATGTCTTATCGTTCGGCTAAGTGCTCATTGCAATTGTAAGTTGTCTTTATTGCACTCAAGATCATGATCACGGTGCACTCGCACACAATGTTGTTTCTTCATCTTTTTTTTGTAGATTTACCGTTTTTAGAAACGTCTTTGTCTACATCGAACAATTTTTGTTTCCATTAATTTTGCCAATGAAACGCTTTCGCAATAAAATCACACGATATTTCTCGGTTCTCTTCATCAAATCGAATATGAATTAAATGCGTCACAATGTTTTAAAATGGGCATTGACATGCGATCGAAACAAATTTACGTGCCCATAAAAATTGTTCGACTGAATTGCGATGAGTTAATTAAAACTAATTTCGTGAAAACTATTTGAAAATGGC